ATGATTTAACTGAAAGGAAAGAAAAATATCTGGACCAGTTATTTCCCACACTTCTTAACACATTACCATGTAGCTGCTGATAAAACACTAAGAATTAGCATCAAGCTACATGTATTATTTTGTGTGTGTGTGTTCATTATATCTACCAATAAACATTTATATTCTTGAAAAATCTGAATTTCTAACCTTTAAATTAAAACTGCTCCAGTCATGTTAGCGTGACAAAGCTAGCTCCTAACTCAGAGTGAGCTAATGGCTCAGTCACATGAGTGAATTTTTGTTTATTTAGACAAATATTTAATTGTTGCAGTTAACCGGTGTATAATCACAATCACAGTCTGATATCAGACTGATAACCGATATCTGACTGACGCTGTCTTAGGGCAAAATTTATGGCGGCTTTTAGTGATGGCATTGTTGTGCAATTTTATTTTGTAGTTTTGCTTTGGTAAAGTTTTCCTTTAAGGACAGACTTTGCAGTTAAATTACATTTTATTGCAATATCACAATGTTAAGAAATTGTGATAACATTGTATCGTGAATGAATCGCGGGTTCATGGGTTGTCTGCCGATTCCCACCTTTAATTAAAAGGGCCTCAACTTTCCGGTGCCAGCTTAAACTCCAGACAAACTCATCTGATCTCTTTTGAAGAACAAGGACTGATTGATTTAAAAATAGATAAAGAAATAAAAGGTTTATCTATATGGAAAATAATTAACAGCTGCAGTAGCAAAGTTTTGTGTGTCTATAAAGCAGTAAAGGAATCTAAAAAATGTACAGTATCATGTTTATAATATTCTGACTTGGTGTAATTATGGAGGCCGAGTTCAACAGAATTTGCAAACACTGTTTCATGTTTGCCCAACAGAACGCCAACAGGATCGGGCCCAGACGCAGACCGGCTGAAGAGAGGTGGGTGGAAAGGAACAGGCGGCGGCACATGCAGTGAAGCTATGAGGAAATGAGCTGAGAGGAAAGAGAGGAGGAAGAAGGGCTAGTGACAGAGCTGATGTAGTTGGCATGCGGCTCCAGTTGAGTTCTCTGGAACAGGCTCACTTCGTTTGAGCAACCTTTAACACTGAAAAGATAGATTTCATTCCCTTGTTGTCACATGCCTGTGCTGGTGTGACTTCTGATTTAGGGTATGCATAAGTACATACTGAGAAGAGTGCAGTCATGGCATGAGCAAACATCCACTGTGCATCAGTCCCATCCCTTTTGTTAGCTCACGTTACAGAATCAGGTGAAGCCAGGGAGCAAACAAGGCAGCAGTGTGGGAATGAATGGAGCCGCAGAGGCCTTATCTCCATACAGGAGACTGACTATTACACAACTATTACACTAAGAATCAGCAGCGGTTCTAGTATGAGGAAGACCGACTGTACATGGGGTTATACAGCCTGTCTAACCTGGCATCCTGCTCATGAGCAAACATTTCTAACCTTCAGCTGCAGTCCCCTGAGGAGGCCTGCTCCATGGCAGTCGCACTACACTTGGACCTAACAGACACCTTGACACAATGTTCAACAGAGACCTGACACTATAGAGGAATCTATGGAAGAATCCCATAATGGTAAAAATGGCAGCTGTTCCACCACTGCACCCAACGAGCTTGTTACAGTCAAACAGCAGCAGTGCACGGGCTCAGCAGAGGTTCAGCGGCGCAGTGGCAAAAATACAGCATGTCTCATTGTCATGTAAATATGAAGGTACATGTACTTGTTATTTTCTTGACTTATGATGATGTGATTTAGCGTGTCGTCTCTTTTGCTAGCAGGGACAGAGACAATTATTGTGTCAGCACTTTGGAAATAAGCTGTATAACATGAGTATAACACATTGGGAATAAAGCATGCCAATTCAAGCTCATTTAAATAAGGGCTCTCAGACCCAAAGAGGTGCCCAGGGTCATTGTCAAGCTGGCTAGCGAGCAGCAAGACTTGCTTCTGGAAGAGTTTTGGAACAGCCTCTCCTATAGGTCAGGGTAACTGTGCTCCACATGAGCATGACAACCGATGTGGAGGTGGCTGACATGTGGATTTATTGTACTACAATAACTCAAAGTTGACTTTGAGTTACTGTAGTACAATAACATAAGACAGGACAAGTGGGAAGGAGTAGGTCGAGTGTGTTAAGTGAAAGTGACAGTTACTGATAAGGGGGAAGCTTG